CCAGGAGGAGGAGGTCCCCCCCCCCTTTCACCCGCTTAACACCCCCCTCTCACCCGATCTTTATTTCTGGTCCCCACTCCGCGGCCGGCAGCACGACCTTCCTCAGACGGGGAATAGCGAAGAGAGCGCGCCAAAATACTCAGAACCGGGCTGGACTCTGCGCGGATGGTATATATTGCGGGCTTCTCTCCGCGGGGAGCTACTTGGTGTCGTGTGTCCGGTTGTGTAGTGAACGTTCACGATGGGTAAGTGTGCATTCCCTCTCTATCTCCAGTCCATACAGAAGATGTAATCTCCTTTGTTCTTTTCCCTTGTGCTATTACTAATACCTGCACAACCTCGCAAATATCTTGCAGTTTGCAATGAGAACACCTGCTGCTACAATTGTAATTTATTGAGTGATGTTTTTGCCCATCTCTTAAAATTCTCATGTATCCAATGTGTCAGTAATTTTTTTTATTATGAATCAGAATGGTGATTTTGTTTTAACACATATGTTGTTCCAGTTTTAACAAAAATTGAGGAACTGGAGGAGATGGCTGAGGAATTAAAAAAGTGTAAAGGAAGTCCAAATTTAAAGATAAGCGGTTTGAAGAAGAAATGCGTACTGGAGCCGCATCAACTAATGGCAGTAGAGTGGATGATGCTAAAAGAAAAGCAGAGTCAGGGAGGTATACTGGCTGACGATATGGGTTTAGGCAAGACCCTACAAATTATTGCCCTAATCCTGAAGGAGCGAGAAGAGGAAAAGAAGGAGAGAAAAGAAAAAGAGGAAGATGAAAATTTGAGTCAGTCAGAAAATGGATCGGAAAGTGATTTTGATGATAGGCCCAGACTGACTCTCATTGTGTGTCCTTTAAGTCTAATGGATCAGTGGGTGAATGAGATCACCAAGTTTGTTTCATCTGAACACGAGGAGAGGCTATCATGCTATAAATATCATGGTCCAAACAAAATTGCGGACTCTAAAACACTTCAATCAAATTATTGCGTTGTGATTACAACGTATGCCACATTAAGAAGGGACTGCTCTGACCTTAAGAGTAAGAGTCGTCTATTTCATGTCAACTGGAAGAGAATCGTTTTGGATGAAGCACATATAGTCAAAAATCCTGAAACTGCTGGATCAGCAGCAGTTTGTGCCTTGAATGCTAAGTACAGATGGTGTGTAACAGGCACTCCAATACAGAACAAATTGTTAGACTTGTATTCTCTGTATAAGTTTCTCCAGATGCCACACTTTGCTACTGAGGCTAACTGGGTAGAAGAAATTGGTCAGGGTACAGATTTGGAGAACCAGCGACTGCTCTATGCACTATTGCGGGCAACTATGCTTAGAAGAACTAAAAAGGAGCTTGAAAATGTTCTCGCCCTGCCAAGAAAGACAGAAAAACCAATTTCTATTGTCCTAGATAAAGACGAGCAAGATTTATATTGGCTGATTGCGGAATATGTGCGGCCGTGGGGAAGTACGTACAATGGGAATTGCAGACTTAGTTCTTAGGCGCCCAATAAACAAAAAAAACTGACCATGAATCATTTAGAGTCATTTTGCAGACTTTGAGTGTCATGGTGAGAGACTTTCTGCCTATATGTTGACTGGTTTTTTAGTCAAAATTTAGGCAAAAAAAAACCTACTATGACAATCAAAAGCTGTAAATAACTTCATAGTGAGTTTTTTGTGTTTATAGAGCAGTGAAATTGCCAGCTAGTTAGGCAAACTACGAGTATCAAATAATATGCCCCTGCAATGTCTATTTATTAAAAGAAAATCAAGTTTTCATTCTCACATCAAAAATTTATCACTTTCCAGGAATTAATACAAATAAGGGATATAGTGGTATTTTGCTGAAGAGACTTGCCCTAGCTCACCCAAATCTGCTCATAACTGATGGTAAAGGTGCTATAAATTTGACTGATGTGGATGATCCATCAGTTATCAATGACAAGGACCCTGAAGAAAGTGAGGAAAGTAAGGCTGACGCTGACAAGATAAGGATTCTTGAAAATAAATGGAAGTACGATGGCACAAAGCAAAGCTTTATAGAGCAAGTTTTAAACTGGAGATCTTTCGATCATAAAATACTGCAACCCTGTCACGAGCCGTCAAAGGTAAAAGGTGGCCCCACAAGGTCACCCGTTGCACCCGTCGCAACAGTCACGCTAGTCACAGTGCGACGGGTGAGACGGGTGACTATTGTGGGAAGGGGGCTTTGGCTTTTATCACCCAAAAATCATTGCTGGTACATTTGTCAATAAAATTAATAAAATTAGTTTCTGACCCCTTGTAGGTCTAGAGAAAGAATCTAGGGATATATGTCTGTGTTAAACTAGCCCTTTTGACAAAACACATACCCCTAGCACTAGATTCCTTCTCTAGACCTAAGGGGCTCAGAAGCTAATTTTAATGACAAATGTTGTTCTTTTCCTTTTGACTTACTATACTGTTTTCTTAAAAACATTCTTATTTTTAGCTGAGAAAGTTGCACGAACTTCTGGAACATGAGGTTCTATGCAAAAATGATAAAGCTATAATTGTGTCCCAATGGACGAAGATGTTGGACTTAATCGCTGATTCCTTGGAGAAAAGGAAAATTAAATACTGTGTTGTTAGTGGTCCAATAAAACTGGATGAGCGCAGGGAAAACTGCAAAAAATTTAATGAACCAGGTTCAGAAATAAAGGTATGTTATTTTTTATTTTTTTTCAATCTTTTACAGAATTAAAATGAAAGCAAAATATATGTTAGTTTTCGCTTTGCTTCTAACTCATGAAACATTTCTTCATTTCAGGTGCTCCTTCTTCAAATGAATGTCGGAGGTGCTGGGTTGAATCTTATAGGTGGAAACCACCTGTTCATTTATGACTTACATTGGAATCCTCAGCTGATGAAACAAGCATTTGACAGGGTGTATAGAATGGGCCAGACCAAGGATGTCTTCATCTACAAGTATGTGCCATTTGAATATATTTGGGAAATTAAGTATGGAATAAGTACTACACAACCACATTTGTAAATTTATTTTGTTTCAGGCTAATAACTGAAATTGAAAATTCAATTGAAGAGAATATTCTAACAACACAAGAAAAGAAACTCCAAATGTTTGAAGAGGTTATGAACTTCAACGAATGGATACCAGGAATAAATAGGGGCTTGAGTGATAATGTGATGGTTGAAACCATGAGATTACGCGATGGGGAAGAATATGACAAATTGCTTGAATATTGTAGGGGTTAGCCCATGACACTCCATGCCCATGAGTTACCCATTCATTGTCAGATTATTGGAAAATTCTCACATGACATGATTTGCTTATGATTTAACTTTGACTTGAAATGTAATAAAAGTAATTTACAGTAATTCCCTATTGTTACATTATTGTCAGCTGTACTTACAAAGATAGTTTTCAACTCACTCAGGCAACATAAAAAGGTCTTATGACATGAATTGTCAAAACAACATCAAAACAACCCTACTTTGGTATCAATGTGACAAAATTTTGATGTCATTTGACCTTAAGATGTTGCCTGGAGAGAGCAAAACACATAGCTGCCTGCGAGACCTCTGTTGTAAAAGTTGAGATTTTGGAGGTTTCAGTGAGAAATTTGTACTCCTAGTCCATTACTGAGTGTGGAGAATGGAGAGAATCAAGCACTCATGTCATTCTGCAAGCTGCATTTTATTGTAAACACCCTACATCAGTTCAGAGTACGTCAGAAGACTAGATATGCATATACAAACATAGATAAAAAAATGATTCTGAAATATTCATACAGCAATCAATGAATTTAAGATATTTAGTTCTTTGAATTATTAAATACATATTGGTCATATGAAACTGCCTCAAGTAACAGCAGAAGGCACTGACTGGTTACAGTAACAGCATAGCGCCGCGGGCACAAAGCAATCTGTTCTGATGTCGAACAATTTTACACTTGAATTAAATACCAGTTCATATATACACTATGTACAACAATTGTATTACAATTGTACAATATAAAAATCTCATTTGACTCAGTCATCCAGGACTTCATCATGTTTATTTATGCTTTTCAGTTCAATATATTAATATAATTTCATAAATAGCATCTCTAGTGCAGTAGAAATGGTGTTTAAATTCACACTTTAAGTGTTTAAAATCACCCTTCCTTCACTCTCTACTGTTTACAAATTATGCAAGGTGCTAAAATGAAGCGAAACAGAAAAAAGAAACTAACAAGAAACAATGTAACAGACAAATGAAAAACTCAAATTTCTGATGAAAAGAAATTTTTTCAGACAGTTGAAAATGAATCATAATTGCAGTGCAATGAATTGAAATGAAAAGAGTGCTTTTTTCATGAAAAGCTATCTTGAAATATAGCCCTGATGAATTACATAGATATTGCAGTTAAAGAAAACATGTTTGACACATGAAGAAAATAGGATATAAGAATTCAAGTAGCTTCAAGCACTGCAGTGAAACCAAATGAGTACAAGTCAAAGGTTTGATGTAAACTCTGCAAGTATGATTCATAGATTTCACATTATTATGAGTTTAATGAATGAAATGTTGACACAACATCAAAATGGTCAATAACAAGATTAACAACAACAAAAGCCATACAGATAAATTCAGTGATGCATAAACAAATACAAGAGAAACTGTAAAAAATGGCAGCCAAATCCATAACGTTGTAAATATGGGGAAGCACCCATGCATCCTGCGTCAATTGCACTTTTTCCAGTACCTATAATTTTCACACAACTACACAAAAAAATAGCATCCAAATATCAACAGTTTCAAAACTAAATATGTTATGTTTGGTTAGCATTGCATTTAATACATAAGCGTCCTACATCCAGTCATGGCATCAGATAAAAAATAATTGGGACACAGAATATTAGCACACTCAATTCTACTGCACGTCTTTCCCAGTAAAGATTAGAAATCCCAATTAAAAGATACTTGCTTTGTATTGCACATAGTGTCAGCACAAACACTTACATTAAATTTTGATCACTATGAATCAAAAATTCATAGCTTTACAGATAACTGGCCCCGCAGTCAGATAGATATTTGATAAATCAGAAAAACCAAGCAAGTGCTCTTAAAATTGAGAACCAAAATAACCAGTAACCTAAGATTTCACAGAACATGCAGTAATGTCAAAATGGAAGACATCACTTAAGCACCTCAGTGCAATAGCTACCACCTCGCATCCACAATATTAGAAACAAACAATGACATAATTATTGGTAAACCCGGCAGTTGTACATTTATTTCTCACATAAGGCACAATGCCTGACAAGTAACATGACAATTCCACATAGAGAAGAACCATTACATACTCACAGGCGAATTATTGATCACAGACTACGCTTCATTCTTTTTGTGCAAATGCAATGTACAATATATAAATGTCAATGCAAGATAAACATATAAAACTGATGAAAACACTACATGTGAGATTACCACAGATATTGCACAGAAGCAACACAGACACATATACTGACAAACTTGAAACATGTTTAAAGAACATGCACAATACATGTCAACCTCATGAAATGGAAACTGGACCACATTCACACATAACATTACCTGAAATTGACACGCACCAAATACACATCCTTTTATTTAATTAGTATTACCAATTCTCAGTTTCAAGTAAATTGGCGCAAATTGAAAATTTGAACAGTTTACAGCAGCACACTTTGAGCAAAATTTCCTTTACTTGTAACTTAAAATTCAAACAGAAAGAGTTTGGCTGTTGAGTAACAATTTTTGAAAGTCAAATAAAAAGTTACTTTTGAACCAAATCACCAGATAATATTAGGCACTAATCCAACTGGATACATTTTTTGAAGATCAGGCTTAGTTCTCAAACTAAAACAAAACAGAACAAAAACTTTCCAGAAGTTTAGAGTAATACATGATACAGCTTTTAAAGCAACAAAATACAACTGACTTTTTGGTAGCTCACTTCCTTAAAAGAAAGTGTAAAGGGAATGTTGGACTTCATTATGGTGTCATGCTCATCAGACTTATAAAATAAAACTGTAGTATTTCTACACTTACATTTTCAATGCATTCACTCTTTGCGAAGTGAGAGACACTCTAACTATAACCACTGACAAAATATTGTTCTAAAATATAACATCACAAGGCATTTGCCACAAAAAATATTTAATGCTGACCTATACAAGTGCTGGAGAGCTCACCTGTAACTAGTGGGATGTTGGGATACTTTGCAGCTGGCACTAGGATCCCACCAGCGAGCAAACTCTGCCATAGAGTGTACTCGAATGTGGTCTGGCCAGCAAACCACAAATGCTATTTGCTCACATGATGTCTAATGCCACTGCGGGAAATGACAGCTTCATCAGCGCAGCGGAGTACCTGCAAAGCAAAGATCAAAAAGACCAAACGTCGGTCAATACAGAAAGGAATTAAAAATATTGTACAAAAAATAAAAAGGAGGATGGTTCCCCATGGTTTGCAAAAGTAAACAGCATAGTCAAAGCTCAGTATAACATTTTCTTAAAAGGAGAAATGTACCGGTATCTACAATTTCTAATTGGAAACTTAGCCCCCCCTTGATTCTGTATGCAAAAGCTTGCAGTTAACAGTACTCAAATGATGGTTAGCCAAGCAAAACTGGCAAACATGAAGTACACAAACAACACTATGGAAATTGAAATTATTTAGTTCAAAAAGGCAAGGAATGCAACAAATGAGAGGGAGAGCTATCAGCAAGGCATGTCCTTTCTCATGGTATGGTAAATATAGCAGGTAACTTGGTGGATAATGCAAATTAATGAGAACCACAACATTCCAGTGGTTAAAACAATAATCAAACATCTTAAAATGCAAAAAAAATTGCACAAAGTCAAGACATTTTTACATCCATCCACCAACCTGACCAAAATAATTTAGTTTCACCATAACTCCAATCAGTGATTATATATTTGGGGGGTATCTGCAAGAAAAATGTTAACAGAAAAGGAATACAGAACCTGATTTCTTACCCACTATGGCTACGCAGTAGAAGAAAGGCACCGTGGCTATTCTCTAAGGAAAATTTCTAAACTATAATATGACAATCCAGAGACTTACCTCAACACAATTCTGGTATATGTTTTTGCCCTCACGAATAGTCTTGATATGAGCTTCACAAATTCTTGGTTCAAGACCAAGAGAAGGTAAGAAAGTATTCTGCAGATGGCATAAAAACTCATCACCCTAGAGAAGGAATAAAAAAATTAGCATGCAGGAAGAAATTCCAACCAAAATAAATTTTAAATTTTGACGATTTAAAATTTTGCAGCCAAAACAAATACTAACCCTTTTCTTAAAAATAGATGCAATCAGTTGAGAGCATTCTTTGCCAACAGCACGAGACTCAAGGGAAGATTCATCAAGTGATTTCAAAGGCAAGTAGCATGCCGGTACAACTCTCTCATATAAAAATTCAGAGAAGCCATCTGGTTTCTCACCAACGCCACCCCACTGGTCAACCATCTTTTTCAAAATAGTGTAGCAACTTTTTTGTGCCTGAAATTAATAAACTTGTTAAAATAACTACCAAACCAAAGCTTCCATTTTACGATATGGACTACAATACAACAACTTACAGTGGGGTCTGGGTCATGATAAGTTCCTTGAATAACCCAATCAAGAGCTTGTTGCAAAGTGTGAGGCTCTTGGGCTAATAAAACTTCTAGAATGTTGTTTGTGACTATTGCACTCACAAGTCCAAGAAAACTTCTGAAAAGATAGTGATTCTCTTCTTGAGCGTATGGATTGTCTTTATCTGTGTCAGCTGCCCAAGCAGCTGTGAATGTTGCTAGGGTTGGGGCCATAAGTTGTTGTACAAGCGATGCAGAATCCTTCTGTAAGGTGTAAAGGAAAGTGTTATTAATATCAGAATCAGAGAAGATATAAGAAGACTCAAGGCTTTGACAAGACTACAAACCTTGAACTTCATTATGACTTGAAGAACCAAAGGCATAAATTCAGAGAGTAGGAAGGCATCATTGTCACGGAGCACAGCTTGCAGAACAAATGGTATAAAAGGCAGTACTTCTCCCTCTAAGCAAATCACCATTCGATGCAGAAACTGACGAAGGCCACTTTGCAGCAGCTCTTTTTGATTAGGGCTCTACAAGAAAGAAAGTTGTGTCATGAGTCTTCAAACAAAACAAGATCAAATAAAAGGAATAGTGAACATTAACATACCTGTAAACAAGTTAGGAAGACCTGTAGAACTTCATAGTACAATTGGAAACATCCGAAGACTCTTGTGTCTTTCAGGTTATTGAATGCTTTGCTAACTCCCGTGACAACAGCCATAGCATGGCACATGCTATGGGCCAGAGCTGCTCTTTGCTCTTCATTTTGTTCAGTTGTTAATTGAGCAGAAAGTTCCTGATATCTAGCTACGACTGGCACCAAGAGATTCCTAATAGTTTCTCCCTTTTCCTGAAATAAATGCTTTCATGAAGAGTGCACCTTAACAATTACCTTACTCGGGATAATTGGAAAAGAAATAGAACTGTACCTCAGGGGAGTTTGTGCCAGAAACAATCAATAACCCAACAGCCCCATATAAATACAGCTGATCTTCATGGCAAAGCCAGGTTCCATTGCTTTGGGGTAAGCTCAGTTCCAAGAAGTCTTTTAAACTTGCTATTACTTGGTATGAATATGATGCTAATGTAGATCTACAAACCATTAACAATTAGTTACTTTCATTTAATTTTTTTAGGAAATGAGGAAAATATGATAAAATTTTTACCTTAAACTTTTAACAAATAACTGGAAGAGACATGCAGCTCTTGCCCTGAGTTTTTTATCAGTGCTGCGTAAGCCCCGGTGATCCAGAAATGCCTCCAGCACAGGGGGAATCAGTTCTGGCTCCTTCAAAAATAATTTGTCTCGGCGAGACACAGTTTCTAGAAATTGCAGTTTGACTGCAGGGTCGGGATGATTACTGACCCCGGATGAAAGGAGCTCCAATAGCATGAGGCGAATAAGGTTGTTAGCACTCTGTAAAACATAGCATATGAGATTAAAAGGTTTGAAGGGGAAGAAACTGTCCCTTTAACAAGCACAAAAAAGTCTCTACCTGTGTTTCTTGATTGTTTTGAGGCGGTGAAGAACCAGCAGCAGGCAAAGCTTCGCCAAGGACATACAGTATGAATATTACACACTCAACCTCACTAGTAGAGTAGGTTTGAAGGTCCTTGAGAACGCTTGTGACAACTTGGTAAACCAGCTGAGTGACTCTATCTTTGTCAATTGCAAGTAAATTAACAAAAATTATCTTGAATTCATTCCTAGAAGATGATAATTCAAACAATTAAATGAATAGTGACAAATAAAAATTAAGACATATGCACAAACCCAGTATTTTTAAATACACAACTCTGGGGAAAATGTAGCTCACCTCAAGTCCAAAAGAGATTGTTGGCGATCTTCATTAGAAGTTCTGAAGTAATCAGGATGCAATTTTAATTTATCAATAACAGTTTTTAGGAGTTTTTGAACTATTTGAATTTGCTTCTCAGTCAGAGCTTTGCCTTTGAGTTTCTAAAATGTTAAGACAATTATATATATGGAGAATAATCTTAGACTTAAATCTTTAAAAACATCTGATAAAATTTCTATTCTTTCATAAATTTTATTACTATACCTTAATGTATTCCTTGGCATATCTCGTGACTTTGAGGCAAACATTTTCATCATCATGTTGAAGATATCCATCCATGTATAATATGTTTTCTTCAGCAGCATTGTATGCTACTTCAGCAGCCTCAAGAGCGCCTTTCTCTTTAAGTCTGTTATAAAAGCATTTTAACAACTTCAAATTAGTATTGAGCGGACAAATTGAAAAATAGGTACATCAAGATATTGTTACCTATCATATGCCTCCAGGAGGTTGAGGCCAATGCTATTAACTAAGTTAGCCATATTGGCGGAGTATGCCACACAATCAACCTAGATAGACAAAAAATATAGGATTACTCAAGGTCGGTCAATGAATCAATCAATGAAAAACACAAAAAAACATTCAATTAACTGTTATTAAATACAAAAGATCCACAATGCAAGACAGGAGTACCTGAGAAGGAAGTAGTGGAACTTCAAAATTCCTTAACAGAACCAGCATTCTAGTAATTAACTGCAGCTTATCAAGATTATCCATGCCCTTGTCAACAACCTGACACAAAAGGTCCGCCGCAGCAGCCCGGGCATACTCATTACGCATGAGCTGCAGAACTACGGGGAGGAACTTGTCATTTGCTACAGTTGTAACATCGATCCAAGGCACATAGGCGCCTGTTACTTCCAAACAAGCTGTAACAATTTCTGGTTCAGCATGCCATGTGGTCTGAAAATAGATTTTTAAAATTAGATAATACCTCTTTGGTGTTTTTAAGCTGAACAAATAGCAATGTACAAGAACAGTGACAGGAAATGCTTACAAGAATCTGGAACCATGAATCCACCAAGACTTGCACACTAGCTTCTCTCATGGTGTCTTTAAGTTGAGTACTGCGCCGAATGAGCTCATCACTTCTATTATACTTTGGGCTGAAAACCTGCAGATTCAAATGATTTATAGTACAAAATGTTTGGGAGGAATACAAGGGAAAATCATGAAATATACATTGCACATACCTCTGTGTCCATGGCCGAAAGGACAACAAGGAAGAATTCTACAGAAACCCGACCCAGAGAGAGAGTGCCAACTAGATCAGTGAAAAAGGAGGGCCAACGATGTGGATAGTCTTTTACAAACACCAAAGAGAAAATTTGACCCATTTTATTACGAATAAATTTTTGTTCAGGAATTTGTTGGGAGCACTGTAAATAAAGCAAACATGACATAAATCAAAACATGTATGGATGGAGCCATTATCAATCCATGCTACAATCTTATTCCAGATAGCACAATAAAAATAACTAGAAACTTGCCTGTAGAATGATCCACCGCAGTAAGTATTGACGAAGTTCAATTTGTTCTTCGGCAGGGGCGCTGCCATATTGTGTTTGTATATAGACCTCCAAAACCTTGAGATACAGGAACTTGGTTTGGGAATCCAGAAGAGAAGATCTCTCACCAACAAGTTCATTGAGACACATTCTCCAGTTACCACCATTCACATTTACACCCATTCCGTCACCCACACCAGGCCCTAAGGACCCGATGCTGCCAATAGGTAACGACATGGCAACCCCTAAAATCTGCAAAGAAATTATGCTTAATTAAACAAGGTAAAAGAAGTGCAGCTAAGCAGATAATGTGAATGCAAAACTTGACTAAACGTAATTTACAGATAATGGAGGCAGAGAATGATTCATTCAAACTAAACAAACCAAGTGTTTTAAAAAAATTGGACTTTGTACTGAGTCAATCGTTAAATCATAACATAGACTTTATTTTCTAATTAAAAACAATCTCTTATCAACAAAGCAAAGCCAAAAAACACACACATGCTTTACACAAAAATGTGTTGAAAATTAATTGAATTTCTTAGCATTGTGTTACAAAATATAAGGAAAGTGTCCAGCTGTCAGAGGAAAATAAGTTAAAAAAAAAACACTCTACAAGAACAAAATATTATTCTTAAATTATGAAATAAGCATTTACAGACACTATTGAGGGGGAGACAGTGGCGGATTTAATAATGACTTGATAACATAATCCTACTCAGAGACAAGGAAGCAGACACACATGTGAGCCTTGAAAACAAATCACTTTTGGAACGCTTACTTGTTGATCCATGTGCTGGTGACAGTAGTTAAGTCACGAAAGAATATTTGTCGATCATAGCACGAAAAATTCTGATTTTCATCAGGGCATCCCGAAAAAAAGCTTCAATTTGCACGCTGCCAGGCCACGTTAGAAGAACGACATAACCTCAAAAAAGTAGCACCGCCCGATGTTTTTCTGGGCGACAGGCTGGATTTTAACACCGAAGAACCGTAGAGCCTATGCGCCGAAAGGAGGAACAGCAGTACAACTCGTCTCCAGATCAACCCCACACACAGCACAAATCACACTTAAGCTGATGAAACTCTACGTTTTCTGTGTGCTTGTTCACGGGCGTATGCATACAAATATTGAAGTTCATGGCCTACTTGGACCAGCCAGCATCGGAAAGATGACGCAACGCTCTAATTCCACCCATATGTCGCCCTTGTCAAGGGTCGGTTATCATAAATTTCCGAATCATACAGCCGTTTTAATTTCGCCGAAAAGGTTTGGGTGGGCAGTTCACGTGTGTTTGTACGCTGGCCAATATGGCTCCGTTTACATCAGAGTCCGACCCGACGGCCGTGGCCGGTTCATAACCACGCGCTCCCGCTTCCGCCGAGAGAATGTCCGCTCCCGGGGAGAGGCGCCCGGAAGTCTTTGTCGAACGTCTGGGAGCTTTTTATTAATTTTATGAACTTTTAAAGGGTTTTGCCCCAATGAAGCACCGCAGCGCTCTTCCAAAATAATGGCAGGGGTGTCAGGAGTGTCGCGGTTTCCGTGGAAATTTGGTTCGAAGACGGGGCCTTGTGTTGTCGCATTTCGAACTTTCGAACCGTTCCCGCTGTTCCCGCCAAGAGAGCTTGAGGCTATCTCCGACAGAGCGCAGCAGCGCACGATCATGACAAATCTAGGATGCCGTGTCGCGCAGAACGGATCGAGTCCCATATGTGTTTTTAGTACAGTCAGAGGCCTAAGTGAGTGCACTTGTTGTGGTACGTCGACCGTACCCGTTTGTTTTTAATCGAGAAAAGTTTGTCAACAAGTGATTCTGTGTGTGGTTTTCGTGCTATTCAGTGCTGTGAGTGACATTCAGTTTGCTTCTGTGCCCGAGTTAGATTGTGCTTCGAAAAAAACTAACGAAAATACAAGTTTCTTCACAAGTGGTCCACAACTTCAGAGCTTGAGAAGAACATCCGAAAGATTGTGAGAAAGTGCTCTTTTCGAATCGAAAGTCTTTCACTCAATTACAGTGAAGTGTTGTGATTTCAATTTTTGCATTTTGCAAAAATTACCTCTTGGAATTGTGCTTCACCGTTATCGAACGATGGGATTTGAAGGATTACCAACAGGTTAAGGTAAGCACTAGAAAAGTAGGCTGATCTTAGCTTTGTATTTTATAACGGTAGATTCCAATGTGCGAGATTTTAGAAATATTGTGTACTGAACGAATACACCTTCTCATTAGCTTGTAATCTGTTAAGTTTGGTTGGTGAATGTTACTGATAAGCAACAAGTGGATGCTATGCATTCTCCAGGCAATATTTGCTTTGATTTGTGTTTTTTGTGTTTTAGTCAATGTCCCCACTTAGAAGTTAAATGTTTTGCATATCATTCATGAATTTTAATGGATATGGTTACCCCTTATGGTGGAATATTTATTTCTGGTATTATTTTAATCTAGCAGCACATGCAGGTTTAATGACCAGGAGATGAACAGTCCTCTGGATAACTTAAGCACCTGCCTTGTAGCTGCCACCCAATTTTTAGTCAGTCCCTTTTTGTCATAAATACTAAATTTGACTGATTTTCCTTGGTCATCATTTTCTGCAGGGAAGTTAAACACATTTTTGCTTAATGAATTTTTTATCCTAGCTCAAGACAATTTTTTTTTTTGAAAGGCCATTACTAAATTATGCTTGTGAAAATGAGAGGTGTCAGGCGATCTGCCTTTAATCTTGCTGTTCCTGGGGTTCTTTCTCTCTTTCACTTCTTTCCCGGGATTGTCCTGCTATGGGGTTTCCCCCGCGGCCACCCTCCCCGTCTTCCCCTTCGATTCCCTTTCAATTTTTCTTTTTTCCCCCTTTCGCCCGAGCTTCTCCTAATTTTTGCGCGTGGCGTGTGGGGACTTATCGCAGACCTAGCGAGGAGAGCAGCTCGGCTTTTCGCGCCGCATACGCGAGACCCGCGAGACGTAACGGGCGGTCCGGTCGGGGTTGTCGGTCCGCGTCGCGTCCGAGTCGCGCGACTCGCCTCGTCCTTGTCGCTGGCCCGCCTCTCGCGGGCGTGGGAGTGAGACGGGGCGACGAGACAAATCGCGAGCGGGACGGACACAGCCTCGCGCAGCAGCAGCAGAGGGAGGGGAGGCTCTTGGGGCTGGAAGTGGGAAAAACCGGTCCACTCTGCCGGGGCCGGGTCGCCCCGTCTCTGTGCTGCGGGGACGGGTGGGGCCACACCACACCACACCGCTCTGCTGGGCTGGCTTTTCTGTGCGACCAACTGGGTGGGCCATGGCCCGAGACAGACCGTGTACACTGCGGAAAAAAAATTAAATCGTGGCGGAGAGCGGGTGGACAGTATACCACCGGGCGTGGCCGCGCCGTCGGCCGGCCCTTCCCTATGGCCTTCCCCCGAGTTCACCTGCAGCCGCGGTGCACCCTTCACCGGCGCCGCGCCCCGCGCCCCGCGGCACCCCGTCGTTCATAGGGTGCTCCACGTTCAGCACGCCACGGCCGTGCCGTGCCCCGTGGCGACGACGACAGGCCGAGCTTGCCGAGCTGGGCGTCCGCCACAGACCACGTCGTAGCCTGCTCGTCTGGGTCTGGAGCACGTAGACACCACCGGGCGGGCGGCAGCGGGCTCGGCTCAAGTGACGAAACTGCCGCCCAATATGCTGCCCGTGCTGCCCCACCTCCTCCTGGACCCGGCGTGTGTCGCGCCCGACCCGCGCTTTGCGGACGGCCCCCATGGTAACCCGCGCGCGGCCACCAGCGCCCCCCGTAGATAAGCCGCCCATGAGACCCACGTCTGTTTCGATATCCGCTGCTGCTGGACTCGCCCCCCCC